AAAGACGGGCGAGAGCAGGAACCAGTGTCCTGGCTCCAGCCCCCCAGCTCCGCCTCTGGCAGGGCCCGTTAGCACTGACACCGCCCCACCAGGGAGCAAGCCCGGCTGGGTGTCCAGAAGGAGCTACAGGACACAGGTGAGGGGAGTTGCTTTGTTGTTAATCAGTGTCACCCATTGATAAGCCACGTGACTCCTCCCCATTCCCGGCTCACGGACAAGGAAAGGGAAGCTGACAGAGGGTGGCCTGCCCTCGGGCACACAGCTAAGTGGCAGGACGTGGAGTGAGCCCTGCCTGCCTCCAGAGCACCCACATTCCCTCCACGCCCTCCGTGTCCTGCAGGGTCGGCGCCCTGCAAAGGCCACCCGAGGTCCTCGCAGCTGGAGGAGCACCGAACCTGGAGGCAGGGGCCCAGGGGCCGCCTTCCCAGCCTCCTAACTAACCATGTGGCTTTGGGCAAGTTCACTGACGGTCTCTGGACTCCGGACGCCTCGCCCTCAAGGGTGACAGCAGGTCAGTCAGCACTGGCCGCCGAGGCTGCTGGGGGAGGGTTCTAAGACTTCCCGAGTGCAGCCGAAGAGACTGCACAACCGACCAGCAATGCCCGTCACGCCGAGGGAGGGGCACGCTGGACCGCAGCCCCGGCTGCCACCCAGGCCCTCGTGCGCTCTGACGGCCCAGGTGCCAGTCTCTTCCTTTTTCAAGCCTATCACGACCATTTCCTCATGAGAAACGACGACTCCCACGTATCCACAGTGCTTCTGCCTTTAGTTTTTAGCATTTACCTCCTTCCAAATGGAACTCCAGGGCTTTCCGTGATTACCTTCACCAGGCCTTCATGCCCGTCCGCATTCCATGTTGCAAAGGGTGAAGCCTCCGCTTGCCGTCAGCATGGCTCTCCGGGCCGGCAGAAGGGGTGCTAGGTGGGCGAGGCAATGGGAGACTGGGACCCACGAAGTGGCCACCGGCACAGAAAGGCTCGGGCAGGCCAAACCTGAGCCCACGGACCCTGCCGAGGAAAAGCACAGCTACCTGCTGCCGCCTGGGCCGCCTGGGCCGCCTGGGCAAGAAGGCCGTGCGGCCAGCAGTGTGAAGGGCCAGCCCCCACGGTGGCCCCCACTGGAACACAGGGCAGAGAGCAGAAAGTGACCAGAGGGACGACCCTGCCAGCCAGAGTCACGAGTTCCAGCTGAATATCTGTGATAACTGCCCCGACCACGGCCTGCCCTCGCCCACTGGAGCCCCCAAGATCAACCCGCTATCGCAGACTCATCTGCAGGACCCCCACCCTCGGCGCAGCTTCTACCTCACGCTTCTCTCCTACCCCAGCCTGCCCCCGGCCAGCTCCCACGGGCCGCCAACATCTGCTAACACAACAGTGCTGTCTGTTCTGAGGCTGTTCCCGGGGTCCCGGGGAGGCAGAGTGTGGGAAACTGCAATCAATCAAACCCGTTTCAGCATCCGACCCTCCCCACGAACGCCTCGCTTCTGTCTGAAGTACTGGTGAGAAATACAATTTGCTGCTCTTTCAAGCTGACCAGCTTGGAGTTGAAAATACAGCAAGGACTGTGACAGCCAGGGGCACGCCATTCAGCGGGGAGCCTTCAATGGTCGCTTTTTCGGAAATCTCTGCTCACATGCACGCGATCACGCGTCTGAAGGGCCTTACGTAGCTCAGGTCTCAACCAGTGATCAGCTGACGCTCGGTGGTGAAACGAGGTCTCAGAGAGCAGGAGCTCATCCTGTCGACCAAAGTCTTGCTAATAACAACTCATGCTCAGGGTGGGCCCCGCCCTCAGTGACACACAATGTCATTTTGCAAAAGGGAGGGAGACCCCAGCTTCATATAATACACAGCTTCATATAATACAAGCAGAAGGAGCCTCAACAGAGCACATGAGGAAACCGCTCAGGAAGGTCAGCAGCATCGGACCTGGCAGGGTACTGCGCGGGGACCCCAGAGCCTGCCGTCACAGTCACAGGGAGGGAGGGCCTTTCTGGACTAGTCCCTGCGTCGTTTCTCCCCAGGTGGCTCTCCTCACTACAACCACCCTCCCTCACTCTGGACCCACAACCTGCCCATGAGCTGGAGGCCTTCCAATCTGTCCACATCCCTGCTGAATGTGGGTCTAAGGTTGAAAACACCACGTTCCAGAAGGGCCTGCTTCCTGGGGAGGGGCTGGGATGGGCAAGGCCTGTGGTCACATCTATCTCTAACACCCTCTGCTGCTAGCTCAGGGCAGTGCCCCACCCCAGGACACTTGCTCACTCACGTGGGTGTGCACAAGGGCCGGGCCTGGGACCTCAGATCTATCAGCCTTCCCTGCTGGTCTGACTCTCTTGGGTTCTCTCCCTGGTTCCTTTTCTGTTGACAACTGGAGGGGCTCTGGCTGCCATCCTCACTGTGGGCCTTCGGCCCTGGTGCTCACACACACATCCCAGGGGTTCTGCACTGGACCCCAAAGGCCCCAGCCCGCCAGCACCTGCCAGGAGCAGGACTTTGTCAGAACTCCTAGTCCCTCCAAAGGTCCAACCAAAAAGGCACTTGGCACCTTCACTGAGCCTCTCGAGCACCTGGTCCCAGAACCCACGCACAAAGGGCTCCTTCATAAGAGTGCTCAGTTGGAACCCCTCCCCCCATATAAGCCAACGTGTAAACCAAGATCAAAGACCCACAAAGGAGCCCACGACCCAGCGTGAAGAAAGGATGGCGGGAAGCAGGGAGCGGCACCCACCTCGGCAGGGCCTGCCTTCCCACATGCGGACAGCGCTCACATCCCGGCAGTCACAGGCTGAGGAATGCCACAGCCTGCAAGGTGAAGGCCTGTGGGCAGCAAGTCCCACACCAGCTGTCATCAGGCCATGGGCAGGTCCCTGTCCACACACTGGTGCACACATACCAGCTCGCGGGGTACCAGGCACAGGGCCCCACATGTGCCAGGCTGGGTCCAGGCCTCTTTTCAAATGCACAGGGGCTGCCCTGGGCCTGGCCTCCAAGGCTCCTGGAAAAGCAAGGCCACCTCCTGGAGCCATAAATCACCCAGTGGGGAGCCAAAGCAGGCAGAGCCGCATGGAGGGAGGGCTGGTGGGGGGCTCAGAGCCCATCCTCAGGGTGTTGGCCATGGCTCTTTGGCATACACACTGCCCAGAGGCCCCTTCTCTCTCCCTGGACTCTGCCCTACCCAGGCTTGGCCAGGGGAAGACAGGCAGAACCAGGGCGGCCGCCTCAGGATCTTGGAGACCTGCCTGGACTGAATGAGCAATCTATACATCTGGGCACAGCCCCGTCGAGCGGTATGTTTTCAAACGGTTTCTACCCCAGAGCGGACGGGAAACGCCTCGGCGATGCCCGTGGTGTTACTCCAACTTGTGGCCAGTAAAATAGAATAACACGTGGAAGTTGTTTTTATTACCTATCTAGCTTATTAGCTAATAAAATAAGCTCAGCATTAAAAACTTAACTGCGCCCATTTATCACACCTACGACTCAGGGTTCCCTTCAGAAGTCACCCAGACCCGTCACCTCCCTGGCCTGTCTACCCATTTAAATTTCCCCAGAGAAGGAAAATTCCACCCTCGTGTCCAACGTAAATGAATGTGTTCAATCGCCGTCTAGCTGCAAAGTCCTCGGGAAAAAGAAAGGGGAGCACCTGGAGCGGCCATGGAAGGAATGGAAACTTGAAAACGGGGGGCAGAGGGCACAGGTCTGCCCGGCGTCCTTAAGGCCCCCCGACCCCCGCAACTGGACCCGCAGGCTCAGGGAGGCGGGCACATCTCGAGCTTGTCCTCCGGCTGCCCCAGGCTGGGAAGTCGGACTCTAGAGCCAAGTGTGGGCACTAGATTTGAGACCCTGCACCTCTTCTTTTGTGGGGGGACCACAAGGCTGGGAGGGGGAACTAAAGGAGAGAGAAGAAAACTCTGGAAACAGAAACGGCCTTTTCATCCTGAAGTGAAAGGAGGCCCGGCTGGAAAGCAGCCCTGGGTCCTCATGGACGGTGGTCCCGCCAACCTGGAAAGGAGTGGACACAATGAGCCTGCCTGATGTGGCCGCACGCGGCCCGGGCAAGGCCACGCCCTCACGGCCAGGTGGGTCTCCACCCGCGCAACGACTGATGCTCACACAACAAGACCAGAAAAGGCAACAGTCAAACCACAGCACTACACACCTGGGGCCTCCAGGACCCGGAGCCCACCTCCAGAGCATCGCATGCCACCCACCACACCTGCCGGCCGTGGGGTGGACAGTCACAGGGGCCAACCCCGCTGCCCGGGAATCCCCGTCATCCCCGACCTCCCCAGTGAGAACCAAAAGCAGGTGGCGCTCAGGCTCAGAGACTCTCCTAAGGACGGGGCGTGAACTCCGGTTCATCTCACTGAAGTCAAGGTCAGTGTGAGCACAAGGCAGGGCTCCAGACACAGAGGGTAAAGTGCAAGTGATGGCCGGGGGCCTTGCCTACAGTGACCGGCGAGGCCGGTTACTCACACAGGCCGCACGGTGGACAGTGTGGTCTTGCTGGTCTCACGTTTCAACAGTTTGATCAAAAGAATAAGGGCCTCCCCCACCTCTCGTTCTCTAAAACCATTACCCCAGCCCTGATGGCAGGACCAACCCAACCTGGGGGGCACGGGTCCAGCCTGTGCGGTCATTCCTCACACTGGACCCGGGGAGGAGGGGGGGAGCGTCTGCAAGAGGCTCCAGCAGGGCCCCAGGGAAGGGGCACCGGGGTCCCGTGGCACTGGCCTGCCCGCCAACACCCTGCCTCTCACCACCTACCTGCCCCTGCACCACCAGCACTGTGCTCAGAGAGACAGACCATTCTGATTTCAAATGGAGACAAAAAGACACTTAAAAAAAGAAAACCTCATCTTTCTTTGCATAGGATTTAAAAACACAAGGAGACAGCCCCACTCCTAAGCTTGCGAACTGGCGCCCACACTTGCCCGCGAGGCTCCACGCGACACCCAGCGGCTCTGCGGCCCCCCCCGGGGGCGGGGCTCTTACCTGGGCCATCTTGGCCAGGTCTAGGGAAGGCCGGGGCTCCTGCACCTCTTCGGGGCGCCGCCGTTTGACGCCGACCTTCTTGTCGTTGAGGACACAGGGCTGGGAGCGGCTGCGGGACAGCCCGCTGGGGCGCCGGGCCAGCTCGGGCGTGGAGGCGGGGGTGCTGCTGGCGGAGGGCGCGCAGAACTCCGCGAAGGAAAACTGCTCGTGGGAGCAGGAGAGTGACCGCTGCATGTCGAGCCGGGTCCCCCCCACGGGGTGGAGGTCGGGGCTCCAGATGTCGCCCGCCTGTCCGCAGGCGGCCGGGCCAGGTGCCCCCTGGCAGGGCTGGCCGAAGCGGTGGTGGAAGCCGGCGGGGTCGCAGGGCGAGGAGAGCGCGCTGGCCCGGGACGGCAGGCTGAAGCTGGAGCTCCTCTGCATGGTGCCCAGGCCGCCGGCGTAGCGGGGCACACTGCCCCCGCTGTAGCAGCGCCGCTTCTCCACCGGAGTCCAGACCTTGGACCCCAGCGGCCGCCACGAGCTCCGGCAGCTGGACATCTCGTCAGAGAAGGACAGCGACCGGCACTGGCGTTTGCTGGGGGGCGCGGAGGGGTTCCCGTTGTGGTCGCTGAGGCTGAGGTCCTTGATCAGGTTGGTCACCGCGCAGGCGGTCGCCGCCTCCTGGTGCCACAGGGCGCCGTCTGGGCACTTCTCAGGCAGGCACTCCCAGATGCTGGCACTCGGCTGGTCAAGCTGAAGGGGGCACTTCCTGTCCAGGTCTCGCCATCTGTCATTTTCTGGTTCATAAACGACAGAGAGAAAACAGGGTTTGAGAAGCCTTCGTGCCAGCCTCTACCTCCTCACCAGGAGCCTGGTTCACACAGCACTTCAGAGCCAGGAAGACCCACGAAACCATCCAGTCCAGCCTTACTCCACAGAGGAGAAACTGAGGCTCAGAGGGGCATAAACCCCAGGCATTGAGCTAGAAGCAGAGCAAGGCCTAGAATCCAGGGGTCCCCCGGACTCCTGTACGGTTTTCTTTCCAACACAGTGAACTGCCTCCCAGGAAAGCACAAAGTAGCCCTTTTCGCCCCAAATACTTTCTCGTTTTATAGAAGAAAACCGACCTGTCCCATCCCACCGTCTCCACATACGATGGCTCTTGGGCTGGGACTTGATGGCCCTGGCCGAAGACCATCACCAGAGAGAAGTCGCTTGGTGTTTTGGAGGGTCAAGGTCCAGGGGCTGGGGTGCTGCCAGGTCGGTTTACCTGAATTCCACCTTTAAAGTACTTGCTGGCAACAGAAACTGGATGTTTTATTGACTTAAGTCCCCTCCCCTGAAATGCTCCACAGCAAGAATGACAGCAGCTGCCAATCACGCAGCACATCTCTGCGGTCTCGATTTCTCACTGAAATCAGGGGTATTTAAAGCCGTTAACACCTGCAGGACCAAGTCTCGGCTGCAGAGACCTCAGGGTACCAGCTGGACTTACACATCAGGTCTCTCCTCAGACACACAAATAAACAAGCTGACGGTGCTCTGCAGTGCTGACTCTGCCCCAGCACCTTTACCTCACTGAAACATTCAAGGACTGCTTGTTGTTTTCTGCTACGGAATCAGGCACTGCTAGGAGCCTTTGGGGGACAAAGATGACCTGCCAGCATCCTGTGTTCAAGTCTTTAACACAAAAGCCAAGTTCAGAACTACACCAGTGGCCAGGGGTGGACACGTTGCCATGTCCCTATCCTTCCTAATCCACATGCATTTACACACTCAGTGTGTGTGTGAACACAGAGAACACTGTGGCGAGTCAGGCAGTCAGCGGAGTGTAGAAGTAACAGCTGGAATGACCTTCGGCAGGTATTTCACGTCCACCGATTCTCACGGCACTGCAGTCAGTCCCTGAGCATCTGCGTGGGTGGTCGAGCCCACGCAGCACCCTGCATACGGTGGCCACCACTGCCCATGTGGGGAGACCCGGGGCCGGGACAGGCAGGACTGTCCAGAGGCTGTTCCCACGACAGGGCCACTGGAGCTGGAGATGCCGGAGAGCAGGTTTCCTTAAGCCCAGCCAGGCCAGTGGGAACAAAGGAGGAGTGTCACTAACCGTCCGGCTCATCTCATCCTGCGCCTTCCTGGCCCTGGTGCATGGCAAGGCTCGATACTGTTCCTTTACAGAACTCGATACATTGTTACCAAAAATTACCTTCTTGCAAGTAGGGCTTATGCTGTTCAAGATACGTCTACCACCAGCCCTCTATTCATCATTCTTTTAAAAGTTTCAATGTGTCAAGCGTGAGCTGTTGAAAGTTCAGTAAACTAATAATAAAGTGAAATGAAAAGAAACACAAACACGCTCTACACAGCGTGATTTCTGTTCAGTAAAAGATGCATGTTCCACATGAAGATAAGGGTAAACCAGAAGGTCCGCAGTCGAGAGGCAGGCAGCTAGCTGGTTGATTCCTATTTTTTCTGTTTTGTTTTCCCACAGTTTCTGCATTTTCTCTAAGAACAAATGTATTTCCAAATCCATGGGGC